TGAGGTTGCATCAAATATATACATTCTGTAGACAGTAATTTATACTTCACTGTCTAAATGCTTTGCTGTGAATGTCTCAACTTTCTGGAACTCATTATTTTGTCTTATATATGATGAACCCCACCCATCTGGCACCTATATTAAGTAGAAACAAAACCTTAACAATGATTTACTGCACTGTTTCCCACCAACTTCATTCCAGAAGTCTACGTGATACTTGAACTATCTGTATTGTATTGTCAGTTTTTTAAGCTGTCAAAAAAAGAATGATTCTGTTTGTATTTGAAACACATAATAAATATTTATTTCAGACAAAAAAATAATGTTTTACAGTTGTTTGAAAACCTCTTTACAGCAATAGCAAGATGGACCTGCTATTCAAGTATCCACATGACAAAGTGTCAGTCTGTTACGAATGCAAACATACTGCATTTCATAATTTGTCATCAGACTAATATACATAAAAGGATTGTTGTGTAGACCTCATGAAGACCAGCTGTGTGTTATCAAAGCAAAGTAAAGCCCCATTAAGCAATGTTTTCAATTTCAACGTTGAATCTAGTGACTGCCTATAATGTGAAACTGTTGCTATAACTGCCAATCACACTGAGAATCAACTCTCAAATCTGCAGTTCTGTGCTGCGCTGAGTGCACTTTACCTGCCCAGCATGATTGCTTAATGCAGCTTTGAGATAAATACTTTTACGTTTACGTTTTATGGAAATCATGGCTTTAAATGAGTGGTGTGGCATGAATGAACATACCTATCACAACACTAAAATAAAACCTTTCATGTTGAGAATGTCACTGAATTAAAAAAAAGACTATACACAAAGGATTAATATTTCATTTACAACATAGGAGATCAACAAAATGACAACAAAGACCAAAATTAGGAAACTAATCCTGCTAAGGAACTAATCCTTTGGTATGAAGAGCAATTAAATAAAAATGAATTGCATTCCTGCAGTATCCAAAAGATACTATTCAATATAACTCTGTTACTCTTAAGGAAATATCGCCGTGAACAACCTTCCTTATAATAGTTCATCTAATTTCACACATATCTGATTTATACTTAAATAACGGTCAAACCTAATACACTATTCCATATGCTAGAACTCCAAGATCGCCAGGCGTCTTTACTCAAACCAATGATGTTGAATTAAAAGAGGTTCAAAAATAACAGAGCCAAGTCTTAGATTTGGGTGGGTGGTCTGCCCTGCTACCATGGTGGTATAAGGCGACGATTTGTGGTGAACTCAGAACATTGACATGGCAGAACTGTTTGAGGGTCAAAAAAACTATTTTTCTTTTCATCTTGCGTGTTTCAACATCTAGCAGCCAGACAGGACAGAGTGGCAGCACCACACCTTTTATTATCTTAAATAATACCCACAATTCCACTTTTTCTCTTGTGTAAATACTGAAAGGATGTTTTGCTGAGTATACGCTTGCCGGCTCTGTCTTGGCTATGGCGTCCACACATACTCAGACACACCAGTTCTTGTCATAACAAAAGCACGTGGATGTGTTAAACAGTCTAACAGACTTGTATTCTCAGACAACAAAGGACATTGGCCCTTGTGACTCTTTTACCACTGTGGGTCAACCAGCATAGCAATAACACTTTCACTGGATTCAGAAGGTAGACGCTAACTACTGGGACCAAAAGATTATTGGTCGAAAGTCACATTTGTTAACAAGCTAATGGAATATTGGTTAAGAAACTGCACAATGATTCTAATCTTTATTTGAATAGACATTTTGTTCCTAGGTCAAAATGTTTTCAACCTTTTTCCGATCACAGTTGGTGTCCATCTAATCTTTGTTTCTTATAGCATTGCACTTGTACAGTAAGTGTTGTGTGAATGATCAACTAAATATTAGCCTACTCTGCATGTATGTATGTATGGAGGTTTATTAATGACAAAACTATTCCTGACGCACAAAACAAATGTAAGCTTTTATGGAGCTGACAGCTGTCAAGAAGTCCGAGGTTAAGAATGTCAAACTGCTTCAATTCAATAGACTCTTCTCTTTCAAGTTGGAGTTTACATGAAAGGAATATAAACTGCCAAAACACAGAATGTGTGACTTTGAAGACAGAGAGCAGAGGAAACCTTACTGCTTGCCTTCAGGGCTGTAACTACTATATAAAGAAGTCATGTCCTTTGTTTTTTTGTTCTAGAAATTTGTGGACACGAATTGAAGTTACTTTTCATAATTTAAAGTTATATTATATATATATATATATATATATATATTATATATAAATATATATAATCTTATCCCGAGGCAATAGAATACTGTATCGGTGCAAACAGTAAGCTGGTCTGTCCTTTTCACACTGGTGGTGAGGTGAGGGGAAGTGGAGCGACAATATTAAGAGACAATATTTGATTACCAGGCCTGTGTTTGTCCTGTAATCTCTGAAACGTTTAGTATCCCCAAACGTGTCAGACCTAACAAATTGAGAGCCAATAACTATATTTATCACAATATTAAATCTCCAACACATAACCAAAGACCTTGTTTGTCCTACAGTCTGCTGCCAGCGCCAACACAGATGAGGAGTCCGCTATCTCAACCGCTCACACATGCTTGAACAG